GCGGGGGCGCACGCCACTGGCCGCAGCGGGACCCCGACGGACCCCGCCCCCCACTGTGACCTTGCTCCGCCCCTTGCTCTCGCTCCGATTGACAAGGGTTCCCCGGGCTGTCACGCCCCAGTGACGCAGAATCGCCCGCCTCCGTGGCCGCATCATCAGTGACGTACATTGCTCCGCCCCTTGCTCTCTAGTCCGGGTGCGGGGGATTCCCTGGCCCCGCTGGCCCGCCAGGAGTGACAGGGCTGCCCAGAGACGCCGAGGGCGGGGCCACGGTCTCGGAAGGGGGCGGGGCCGGGGATCCACCAACCAATGAGAGCGCGGTAGCCCAGTGACGCGCCTGCCCTTCCTCCGGCGCGAGACACGGACCCGCCTCTCGGGCCACTGGGGCGGGAGCGCGCGGACTCGGCCGGGCTCGGGCCCCGGAACGTGTCACCTGCGGGGGGGGCCGGGTCCTCGCCCTGGGCAGGCAGCTCCCGCGCCCCCCCTCGGTGACCGTGACAATCCCCCTGCGAGCCCCCCACAGCCCTTCCTGCGAGCCCGCCCCCCCTCCGAACCTCCCTCTTCATCCCCCGGGGCTTTGGCAGACACCCCAATACCCTGCAAAGCCCCGCTCTGAAGTGCCCCTGGGCTCTGTTTGCAGGACGCTGGGAACGGGCCGCAGGGGGCGGGTCACTGGGGATCCCTGTTCTGTTCCCTCCCCCTGGGGCACCCGCACTGGGCACCGGGCAGACAGGACACGGGGCTGGGGGGGCCTTTGTCTGACCCGGCCTGGCCGCTCCTGTGCGGGACCCGTAAAGTCATTAATATCGGCAGCGCCATGGACACTGAGGCTCCTTTAGAACGAGCCAAGCAGCCTGAGCGCACGTCAGAATCGGGCCCCGGAAACATGGATTCCAGCTGGAATAAGTGTTTGGCCTGAGAATTGGGTGTCACTGGGCTTGGAGGGAGCAGATGCCAGCGAACCTCGATTTCACTGTCCACTCGCAAACTGAGGGGAAAAATCATAGTAACTGAAAGTTCCACACAGGCCCAGGAAGAGCCGGGCTGCTTGAGAATTTCTTATGGTTGAAGGACTTTGACTTAGTCTGTTTTGAGAGTCACATTAACAATTTGTGGTTTAATAATAAAAAATTTACTGTTTGAATCTCAGTGTTTGTCACTGAATAGTAACTGTCTGAACCAAATATTGCCTGCCCCTCCCCCTATCTTT